GTGACCTGAGCCGAAGTCGGACGCCTAACCGACTGAGCCACCCATGCGCCCCTCCACGTGGTGTTTTGAAACACATCCCAACCATAGGCCAAGTGACCTGCAGGTCGGACAGACTGGCAAAGTGCAAGGGTTTCAATATTTCCTTGGTGTGAGGATCTACCTCCGTGCTCTCCTGATCCGGGGCTGAGACCTCAGGACCATAATTTTCTCTCTTTTCTCTCAACAGCTTGACAGAGAGCCCTCTCACTGGGCCTCTCTGAATGTGCTCCGTCTGATGCGTGACAGCCTGCTCTCTTGTTGCAGAGCTCTTGCTGGGAATAGTGGCCATCTCCTTGCACACGCGGTTGCCGGTGCGGACGTAGCTACCCGTGTCGCACTTCTCCGTGACGACCTGGGCTGCCTTCTTCACGGCTTTGGTGCCAACGCGGCCCATGTTGGCAGGTTGGGTAAAAGAGGAAACAGCGCTACCCAAATTATTAAGGACGAGTGACAGATTTCCAGTTCCTAAAAATACCGTTTATGAGAACAATAATGTGGTCATGTAAAAATCATCCAAAGTTATTTGAAGAGGCAAATACAGATGGTACAAACCATAGCAAAAGAACATCCAAAATCGCAGACCCAATTCTCTTGACAATTTGGCCTGGGGAAAAAGCCTTTCTATTCAGAAATTACTAATAATTCCCTTATAAGCTTGTTACTCTATAAATGGTATTTAACTTCTTCCAAATAATAAAGTTGCTTGAGAGTGTTAATAATTTGAACTCTAAGCCCTATTCTTTTTTTTTTTCTTTAAATGTTTATTTATTTTTGAGAGAGAGCGTGCAGGAGAGGCCGAGAGGTGGGGGTGGGGTGGGGGACAGAGGACCCAAAGTGGGCTCTGTGCTGACAGCAGAGAGCCCAATGTGGGGCTTGAACCCACAAACTGGGAGATCATGACCTGAACCAAAGTTGGAGGCTTAACTGACTGAGCCACCCAGGTGCCCCTCTAATCCCTATTCTTAAAGAGTTCTACATATCTGCAAAATGTCTTAAGCTTAGTAAAAAAGCAGACTAAAAAAAAAAAAAATCCTTATTTTCAACTCAAAACAAAGCTAGAAAGCAAAAACAAAGACTTCAAAATCCTTAAATCATCTCCATTTGAGAAATATTTTTAAGAGAAGGTTGGAAAGATAAGACCTAGAATCAGTTGATCACCAGGTTTTCTCCATTAGCTTTATAAGCTAATGCTTCTACTATCTTTTTTTTTTTTTTTAAGTAAGCTGAATACTCAATGTGGCCTTGAACTAACAACCCTGAGATCAGGAGTCACATGTTCCACCCCACTGAACCAGCCAGGTGCCCCTACTTTCCTATTCCCAAAATTCAACCTCGGTGGCTCAGTGGGTTAAGCCTCTGACTTCCGCTCAAGTCATGATCCCACCAGTTGAGTTCAAGCCCCACACGAGGCTCTGTGCTGTCAGTGCACAGCCTGCTTCAGATCCTCTCCCCTCCAGCCCCTCCTCCCTCTCAAAAATAAATAAATATTTTTTAAAAAATTCAACCTTTTTTTGGGGGGGGGCTGCTAGGTCGGTACATGTCGAGGGACACCCATGGCAAGGAGGGCTCAGCTTGAACGTGGAAGGCCCTCACCTACTTCATAGCTCTTCCCGACATGAGGGTGAGCAGGCTGAACATCTTCCTGAAGTCGCATCACAGAGGACACAAGAGACCCCAGTTCGTCGCCTACCCCCATCTCCATATCAGGTCCAAGCCCTTTCCATGGGGAGATGGTAATCGTACTCTCTAATCCGTAACTCTCATGTGAATCCACTTCTGACCTGCTGTGAAGAGGACCACTACCCAGTGAGGACCACAGCCCTGGTTCAGACCATGACTCTGCACACGGACCAGAACAGTATATGGTACCTTTAGCTCACCTTCCTTACTTGTATCAAATGATGACCCGTACACCGATCTTTCATCCCTTTGCTTATGGCAGGAGATGGCTTAAATAAATAACTTAGATTTGTTCACGAAAAAAGAAATTCAGCCTCTAAATCTCTGGATACAATATGGCAGTCTCCCTCCTGCTCTCTCTCTCTCTCGTCACCATTTATACAGAGCTCCTGCTATGTGTAATTCCTTTTGCTGCCTTCAAAGAGCTTGAGACTTAAGAAGTCATCCCTCACCTGAGGCATGTCACTGCCCCAGGGCCTTTGCACCTGCTATCCCGTTTTGCCTCAAAATTCATCTTTCTATGCGGTTTGCACCCTCGTGGACTTTAGATTTGTGTTCAGTTGTCATCTCCTTCGGGAAGTTTTGCTTGAATATTCTACTAAAAAATTACATTTTCACCTTCTGTTCTTGCATCTGCTATTCTGTTACCTGCCTTATGTTTCTCCATGGCATGGGTCAGTATCTGGCATAATCTATATTTCAGTTTATCTATCTGTCTGTCTATCTATCTATCTATCTTCTATCAATATATTTATTTATTTATTTTTTTTCTGCCTCATCCGACTAGAATGTAAGCTCTGGGAGCTGCTTCCTAAAATGGAGTCTGATACTTACCAGATGCCTCATGAGCTCCAGGTAGTAATCGACTTGCTTTCAGCCACGTAACTTCTAAGTGGTGGAGTCAAAGCCAAATTCAGGCCATCTTTCTTCGGTTCTACACCAAGGACCTAGCCTGCTTCTGTTGTCGTGTGTACATAAATCACAGGTGTGAGGGTATTAGGGCCGTTTTATTAATTATAGGCTGTGGATTTACTGCTTGTGGGAAGAAGGAAGTCATGCACAGGTTCGGACGTCCATCTTGCCCTTGGCCTGGAGAAGTTGTATTTTGCATCGAACAGCAAATAAGGATGTTGAGAATACCTACCTGGGTGGGTTGCAATGTTGGAATAGGTTTTGTTTGGTTTTGATTTGGTTTTGGTTTTGGTTTTGGTTTTGGTTTTGGTTTTGGTTTTGGTTT